CTAGAATAGCAAACATTGTTATGTGAATGGAATGAAAGAGAAGTTGGTTCTTTAAGTGGGGTGGAAGAAAGGAGAGAGCCTAGAATAGAGGAAAAATTTCTTCATCTAACTTAGTGAGAAATTTACTCAGTCATTGAAATAAAGATTATATCTATACAAAATATTGAAACAAAAGATACAAATATATTTAAAGATAGCAATGTAACAAAGTTTATGTGAGAAAAATGGATTATCTTTCAAAATAGGAAGTCAATAACTACTTTCTAAAATGGATGATAATAGCAACAACAATAATAGCTAACATGTTTAGCTCCTATGTGTGCTGGGCACAGCTCCACAGCCCTTACAAGTATTAACTTCTTTAATACTCAAAAAATCCTTATCATGTAGGCATTATTGTTCCATGTTATGGGTAAGAAATTGAGACACAAAGTGGCTAGGTAACTTACTCAAGGTCACATAACCAAATGGTAGCAAGACCACAAGTTTGAATGCATTATTTATAATCATAGCATCATAAATAACCAAAAAATTCTAAAATACAATATGTTGAACATCATGGCCTCTGAGCTAGTATAATAAAGAGTAAACTGGAAAGGAAGACTTTTAGTTATCATTAACACTATTTGACTAGGCAATTTTTTTGACTATCTGCCTGAATAATTGTATAATAATAAGAAAAATATGTCAGTATCTACTGTAAGGTAATAGTCAACATGAAGAGCAGCTTCATCTTCCAATTTCTGAAAGACCTTCATGAGAAGTGATTAAAGCATTGTGAGTGTCTTGAAGGGGTAAAACTAAAGGCCAATGTGTAAAAGGTACAGAGAGAGAGAGAGTCCAGGTCCAAAAAGAGAATTAACAGGTGGAGCTGTCCACAGATGGAGGCTCCCACAGCAACTGGACGACCGTGTGGTAGGTATGGGGCAGATGAGACTCCAGCCTCAGGTGGGGTTGGAACAGACGTTGTCTAGGTCTCTCCCAAGCCTAAGAACTATGTGTCTCTTTTCTTCACAGAACTTTCCGAATGTAAACCAGAATTAATTTGAAACAGAAACAACAGCTCAAGTTTCAGTTCCATAAAATACAGAAGAACAGAACAAGGAGAATCAGCCAGGTTCAGAATTTCTGAAAAACAAGCTCTGTAAATAGGCCTGGAATTATAAACCAAACTTCTGCCATAGAGAGAAGGATTCTGTCTTTCAATTCTGGGATTTTTTTAAAATTTCATTCTCATTCTCAGACCAACCATCCACATGGAATCCGTGGCCAAGAATAATCTCACCATAGTAACCGAATTCATTCTCATGGGCTTTACTGACCATCCCGAACTGGAGATTCCCGTCTTCCTGGTGTTTCTGAGTTTCTATCTAGCCACCCTTCTGGGGAATATGGGGATGATTATTCTAATCCAAGTGGATGTCCAACTCCACACCCCAATGTACTTTTTCCTGAGCCACCTCTCCCTGCTGGATGCCTGCTATGCCTCGGTCATCACCCCTCAGATTCTGGCCACACTGGCCACAGGCAAAATGGTCATCGCCTATGGCCACTGTGCTGCCCAGTTCTTTTTCTTCACCATCTGTGCAGGCACAGAGTGCTTCCTGCTGGCAGTGATGGCTTATGACCGCTACGTTGCCATCAGCAACCCGCTGCTCTACACTGCAGCCATGAATCCCAGAACCTGCTGGAGTTTGGTGGTGGCAGCCTACACCTGTGGGGTGTCAGGGGCCATCCTGCGTACTGGGTGCACCTTCACTCTCTCCTTCTGTGACGACAATCACATCGACTTCTTCTTCTGTGACCTCCCACCCCTGCTGAAGCTCTCCTGCAGTGACACAACAAACACGGAGATTGTCATTGTCTTCTTTGGCAACATTGTGATTTCAGCCAATGCCTTGGTCATCCTGATTTCCTACCTGCTCATCATCAAGTCCATTTTGAAGGTGAAATCTTCAGGTGGCAGGGCCAAGACTTTCTCCACATGTGCCTCCCACCTCACTGCTGTGGCCCTTTTCTTTGGGGCCCTCATCTTCATGTATCTACGGAGTGGCTCAGACAAATCCCTGGAGGAAGACAAGGTGGTGTCTGTCGTCTACACCGTGGTCATCCCCATGCTGAACCCTCTGATCTACAGCTTGAGAAACAAGGATGTGAAAGCTGCCTTCAAAAAGGTCACTGGAAGATTCCAGGTGTCTCAGAGTATGTAGACTTGTGTGAAAGGATCTCTCATTTTAGCACACTTTCTTCCATGTCAATATATCCTATTTAAGCACCAGCATTCTAGGCAACCTATTCCTACAACCAGAAAAAAGATAGACAGGTACCACCAGGCACACAAGAAAAACTGCAAATATAGTGAAGTTTGTTTGCAGCAATTGCGTGGTACTTTCTTTTCAACACCCCCTCCCAGTTCCAGTCCATTCTTCAGCACTCAGCAGTCTCCTGCTACTTCTCTGGCGACACAACTTATAGAATCTCGGAGGTCCAAGGAGCCTTGAGTTTATTCCATCCCACACCAGTGCTCCCTGCACCCCTGCCTGGGCTTGCCATCCTCTCCCTTTGTTTTTGCTCCTATCAGTCCTACCTTTTTCTCCGTGTCAAAGATCATTTCTGGGGATCCCTGTGATATGATAATTGGCCTTTTTTTCTTGTAATATGTGAGGGACTGATCACCTCAATAAGCAGGAAATATTGTACAAGACAAGAGCCAGGGGTGGGGAACCTGCAGCCTTGGGGCCACATGTGGCCTTCTGGGTCCTTGAGGGAAGCCTTTTGACTGAATCCAAATTTTACAGAACAAATCCTTTTAATAAAGGGATTTGTTCTATGAAGTTTGCATTCTGTTGCCAACCAGCCAAGGGAAGGAGGTGTTTGAGCAAAGGGATTCCCGTTTCACCCTTGCACAAACTTGGGTCCCCACCACCACCTTAAAGGGTCTTTTTTTCTTGTTCAAGCCAGAACAATAGAATCTGTAAATTGTCTTACCACTTGATGACTCACTGGTTTTATGGTTCCTGCTTTAATGTTACTGTGACATCTTCCAGATGAATCGAGCCATCTCATCTTGGGGAATGTCTCCTCAAGGGCCAAGCTGCTAGTTTCTGGAAGGCACAGGTCACTGCTTCTCCTCACCCTATTGCCTGTCTCATGAAGAGTTCTCTCCCACCAAGCATCCTGTTTCCAGGAACAACAAAGTCAAACAGAGACTACTGGACTCCATATTACCTTCTCTAACAAAGATTTGGTGAGAGGAGAAAGTCACCATAACTCTTGCACCAGACTGCAAACCCCTTGAGAGCAGAGTGTTTTCTTCATTGCTAAGTGCAAAATCTAGACCAGATGAGCGCTCAATAATCACTTTTGAAAGGTTTATGGTACACACATGTTTCCATTTGAGCCTCATGGCAAGTCTATAAAGCAAACAGGGAAGTCATGCTTAAATATAAAATTCCCATTTGCAATTATGGAAACATTTCCCCATGATTTGACGAATACTCAGAGTATACAGCAGTTGGCAAGGCATGGAGTAAGGCTTGAGTCTGAATCCTGATTCTACCACTAATTCGTTGTCAGACTTTGGGTAAATGATTTAATTTCTCAGGTCTAAAACAAGTATGGCAATTCCTAATTCAAGAGGATATAACAAAAATTAAATCAGATGATGAATAAGAAATATCCTAGCACAAATCAGGTGTTCAGTATAGATAGTTCTCTTCCCAATCCCTCACTTTCTGATGTCAACCCTGGCCCCTTGCCACGATTCCATGGCCATTGATAAAAATGAAATAAATCACAGACCAATGATCATGAAAGTCAATGAAGGCCGTGTACTGAGGAAGATGAATAACTCAATTCTTTGCACTAAGAAATAAAACAAACGAGTATTTAACTGAGTAGGTGAGGGTGCATTTATTTGCATCTAACATAGACAAGAATAACAAAAGGATGTATTTTTTATTGAATATGTTATTTTGTGCCCAATAAACCCCTCTACCCAACTTTGATTTTATGAGAAGCTGATCTTTCCTGTTCCTCCATATGGAAACAACCATTTTATTAAAATGACCCGCTACACACCTGGCAGCTGACTGATTCAGAAATAAGTACCTGATCTATGTTAGGCTGATAAAAATTTTATGTGGGCATTATGAAGCTGAACATGCAAAAGAGATTCAGAATAGAAAGCCAGGCTGACCAAGGTAGAGAATATTCAAATAGTTACTAAACCTATGAAGAGATGCTTATTCTCATTAGTAATCAGGAAAAATGCAAATTTAAAACTACAATATGCTCACTAGATTAGCAAAAATTTGAAAGTATGCCACCACCATGTTGACAAGGATATAAAAAATGGATAGCATAAATTGGTTTAACAACTTCGTAAAACAGTTTGGCATTATCCTTTAAAAATAAAAGATACAGATGAACAGTGATTCAGCTATTCCAGTGACCTAGCTATAGTCACTACAGAAACTCTTGCCCACACACACCAGGATATGGGTACAGGATGTTCATAAAGCAACGTTGTAACAGCACAAAACTCAAAATGTTTGCCTTTGGTTTTTCATTCTTATGGCCTGGAGTGTGGATGTGATGGCTGGAAACCTGGCAGCTATTGTGGACCATAAGGTGACCTTAAAAATGAAAGCAATGCATAGGAGGCAACAGAGCAGAAAAAAAGAGATGCCTAAGGCCCTGACATCATTTTTAATGCACCATATGAGCTGCCTATCTGCAAGGATTCTTTAATATGAGAAAGAAATAAACATTTATCTTGTTAAAGAAAGCAACTAAAAACAACTGTATATTTTTTTTTCAAAAACAAGCTTAACGAAGTCATTTTGTTAGAGATATATACACAAATGACAAAGGTTTAAATTAAACAAGTAAACAATTATAACCACAGCCGAGATACAGGAGCAAGTGGGGATTGTGAAGGGGCAGGTCCTCCTAGGAACTTCTGGAGAAAGAAAGCATTCTACTTATCTTGGTCTGATAGTGATTGCCCGGGTATTTGTTTTAATCCATTTTTATGTACTTTTTTGTATGTATATTATATTTCACAACAAAAATGCAAACGAATAAATATCTGAACCTCCACCCCACCCCCAGGCTAGCGTGGAGGCCTGAGTCATGGGTTCTGCGCACACACCCCTCTGTCCTTGGCAGCAACGTGGCGGGATTCAAGGGACGCGAAGAGGCTCCTCCTTAGTAACAACTTTTTCTTGCTCTGTTGTTACTAATTTTGCACCATTAAAGCAGTCTTTCCTTTTATTTATTTTTAATTGACAAATAAAAATTGTATATATTTGTGGTGTACAGCACGATGCTTTGATATAAGTATACATTGTAGAACTGCTAAACCAAGCTAATTAACACAGGCACTACCTCACATACTTATCTTTTTCTTGTGGTGAGAACAGTTAAAATCTACTCTCTTAGAAATTTCCAAGTTTCAAGTTTCAAAGCAATCTTTCTTTATATCAAAGTGAAATACCCTGTAGGACTGAACACTCATCCCAGAGAACATTCTGGAAAGCAGGTGGTTAAACTGAAGAAAGCCTGGTGCTCAGGACTCTGCCACAGTACAGACTGCTTCGGAGGTCTGAAGAACTGCCTATGAGGAGTTCAGTCAGGCTTCCTAGAAGTGGTGAAATTCAAACCGGTTCAAACTGAGCTTGGAAGGAAGTGGAAACCTCGAGCAAACCAGGCTGATAAGTGACACCAACCTGATCAGACCCACAGTAGCTGGAGAGCCCCAGTCTCCTCTCCCGACTACCTTCACCACCACTCTGATCACCCCACACTCTCCAGCTGCCAGCCGAGAAGCCCCCTGCAGTCAGCTGTAGCTGAAGGAAGCTGGCTTCTCTCAGAAATGGGAAGCCCTGTCTCACTATTCATTTGCGATTTGCAGATAAGTCTGGGCTCGCACAATCCCCACTGAAGGCAGGTAAACCATCACGGTGAATTGTATAGACAGAAAGAGCATCTCTCTGCCTTTCATGTATCATTCTCACCTTTGTCCATAAGCAACATCTTAGGTGATATCCACGAGATGATCAAACAACCGGAGGATTCAATTGAATCCGAAAACTCAGTGTTTCAGAAACAAGATGATCCTAACCAGGTTGTTGGAGCACAAAGGCAAAACGGGTGGCCACCTGGAGAACCTGTGAGGTCGCAAGCTCTGAATTCCACCCAGCAACACTGCGTAGAACTGAGCACACAGTCTGGCCCTGCTACCTGCTGGGTGTGTGTTCAAAGGTGGGTTTCCAGCATACGCGTAAAATGAGCCGGAGGAAGACTGGGCAACTGCATTTTCTGTGGATTTCAGATCCTCAGAGAAATCTCCTTGGACCTGCTCAGAAAACAGGAGAAAATATTGACAGCGCTTCACAGAAGTCCCTCTCAGGAGCACTTCTGGCCGGCTCTCTCTCTACAAGGTAATGTAAATCCTATAACTATATTATACTGGGCGATAAAGTGTATTGCAGAGACTACTGAATGTGCTTTCCAAACTTTTTAACATAATTTAAATTTTATCTATGTGACCTTTTAGATGAGTTATTTATATTCCCCAACCTTCAATTCTGACTTCCATAAAACAGGCCCAGGAATACATACCTTGCTGTGGCAGTAACCAGTAACAAATGTGTCAAGTGCAGGGAACAATAGTTGGCACAGAGACTTTATTGCTCCCCGGACACCACACTATCACCAAGTGCTCAGAGCATAAGCTAAGAATGGGCCCAGCCCCTCTGAGGAGTTTTTCTCAGCTGGTAAGGTCAGAGAGAAAGACATTTGCAACAAGCCCTTGAGAAGCTAACGTGGCAATGGATGTTCTAGGAAGGCGATGATTTGGGAAATGCTGTTTCCTAGCCTCTGAGTGCCCCAGCTGTGCTGCAGCGATCCTCCCGTCCCTGCGGCCCCATCCTGGATTTGTTCTTTCTGGTTTGTGTTTTTATGACTCTGTGGTCTTTCCTGAGGCACCAAATGGGTACAGCATTGTTGAGGCCCCACAGAGATAAATCTGGAAGGGAATATTTTCTGACACATCAGGTAAAAGTTACTTCTGCTCTGGGCTTCAATTTTCTCTTCTGCCAAATGAAGAAAACGTACTAAACCAAGTGCATTCAAATCTTTTTTTGAACAGTGGAACCCTGTTCCCAAACAAAATGAAATGAAGCACCTGGTTGTTTACAAGGGTTAGAAGAATTGCTGCTTTGTCTGCAGCTGGGGCCGAGATGGCAGCACCACACCTGCTCAGCCTCCCCTTCACACCCCACCACTGTGTGCCTTTGAGACAGCTCAGGGAGGCCGAGGCTCTGACGAGCAGAGCTGGAAAATCACAGAACCACATTTCCAGCTCTTGGGTTCTGTGTCTCTGGAGAGGATCATGGGTACTTTAAACAAGCGTGGAGAGGAGCATGGTGAGCCACCACTCCCGGTGTCTCAGGCCTCACCGAGCCCATCCTGACCACCATATGCACAGTGACCCCTAAACACTGGAGAGAGAAACCAGTCACCCAGATGCTTGCCTGTTCATAATGCCACCTTCAAACACAGGACGTCAGACAGAAGTGGACACAGAAACTGACAGACAAGCTTGGGGTTTCCAGCAATGTTCTTATTATGCAGATTTTCCCGTTGAGACAAACACTAACTTGCATGGTTGAGACACTGCCAGTTGTAGCCACCGCTCTTCAGGAGAGAGCTGCCACATGAGTGTATCCCTCTAGGCAAATGAGGCCCGTCGGAGCATGACAGTGTCTGTTCTCAGGCTGCATGAACAAAGTTATGCAAGTCCAATGGGACGTGTCCAAGGGCTGGCCTAAAAGGTTATGACCATTCTCGGAAATGGTGCTGTGGCTGGCCAATTGTGACAACCTAAATCCTACTAGGTAGTGGGATATTGCTATAAGTTGATAAAGCTTAGGACTATTTAGAAATCTGAATTTGTGGTTAGTTCACATGTGGAAACATTCAGAGTAATCTTTTAAGAGCCTCAAAGAAACTTACATTTATAATCTTTTGATTTAGAGACAGCAAAAAAAGTCCTGGGAGGTCATCAAGTCAAGCATGTCTTAAAGCATAGATTACATACCTCTAAATTTCCATGCCAAAAAAATACTCTGTGGCTAAATAATGATGGAAAATGCTGCCTCAAAAGGAGGAGTTATCAAGTTATGGAATAGGGTAATACATTTGAGAGACGATTCAAGATGTCTACACTAGAATGTTCCAGAATGTGTTATGGCTGCAGTGAAGACAAGTCTAGAAGAGATGCCACAGTGTCAGCCCCAACCATAGCTCAAGCTGAAGGCATGAAAGCCGTTTTGGGTCACATAACTGTCCTTTGGACACAGTAGACAATTAATATATAGACTGGCAACATACCTTCAACTTTTTAATTTATGTACTGAGCACTCCAAAATAAAAAAAAAAAAAGATAAATAAACCAAAATCTCTTTTTAAAGTTTTTAAATTAAGAAACCCTAAGATAATTTTTCTGTTTCAATGGAGCTAAAGGTGACAGACCTCCAGGAGGTGATGAGCCAGAGCCATTCATAAGTCCAATTTACGAGGAAGCAGAGAAGATTCAAAAATGCTGGGAAACTCCTTTGACAGAGGGATGGAAAGGAGAAGACAGCTGCAGCACATAATGATCACCATAATAGCAGTGCTGAGGAGGAAAGATGCATAAACTCCTGCTATTAATGTCCCAAGAATCTCCTTAAGTTCAGTGATCTGGGATTTCCTTCCATTCTTGGTTTCCATTAGAACCAGGTCAACGGAGATGGGAGCAAAGAGAGAAACCAGGGTTGTCCGTGCCCAAGCTACTGCTCATCAATAGATTTGATATGCATTGAATTCGACACATTAGTGGAGTTGTTAATTGTTAGAAACTTCGGGAATCTGGTATTCTTTCTAAGTCTGAAACACCAGGACTTTAGTTTTGCCTTATGAGCCATGGAATTTCCAGAGTCAAAATCAACAGGCAGCCCTGAAGTTTCTGTGGAAGTTTTACGGCCAGTAGGAACCCTATATTTCACAAACAAGTCCTCAAACCTGACTCCAACCAGCCTCCCAGAGAGTCTTGGAAACCTGGGTGGAGCAGCCTCCACCCCACTGCCCAGAGGCACGATCCTGGAGAACAGAGCCAGAGCCACCAGTCGCTGACAAGGGACTCACTCACTACCAGAAAGGGAAGGATCAACCTGATTTCTGTAGAAAACTGGTTCTACTGTAAACCCCCTTTCCATAAACTACCTTTAGAGTACAGGTGCTAAAAATTAAAGTAAGAAGGCTTCTGGTCAAGAAGGACCAGTGTAGGATAGTGAAACAAGCAATGTCTTGGAGTTTTGACATGGTGGTTTAAATCCTGGCTTCTGCACTTGCAATTTATTCTTTGATGAGTCATTTTAACTTTCTTAACCTCAGAAAACACATTTCAAACGTGAAACTCATATTGGCCATTCCAGGATTATTGGGAGGAATCACTAAGTTAATGTGCAAATGTCCAACACAAAGTAAGGGTTCCATAAATCTAATGGTTTCACAGAATCGCTTTCTCTCATGGGCCCTCAAGAAAAGAGATTCAAAGCAGGTGATGACCTGGTTGATAGGAGAGCAAAATAGATTATTAAAGTACTCACAAGAAATTGTTGGAATAACTGGGAATGTTCGACTTGGAAAAGAGAAAACCAGATATAATAAAAGTGGACATTACCACCATCTGTTTTGGAAGAGAGTGGTTTTACCCCCCTTGCAGAACCAAACATAATACCAATATGTAGAAGGTACAGAAAGAGCAATTCGGCTTTCTCAACAGGCAGAATTTTCCAAAGGTGGAATGGTCAGACAGTCCCCGTCACATAAAGAATTAACACAGGGTCCTGCATCTGACAACTCTGGAGGCACCATTCACACCACAGTCCAGGTGAATGGCCCTGGCCAGGAGTCACACAGACACAGCCTAAGGAGCCATATGTGGCACCCTGGGTGTGCACCTGGGCTAGATGACAACAGGTTGCGGATAGAATGTTCTATTAGACAAGAAAGGGACTCCACATTGATCCCTGCCAGTCTTGATAGTCTAAGGTTCTCTGGTCTTAAAGAAAGTTCCAGATAATAAACAAGTGAATTTGAAGAAACACTGACCCAAGGTCCAATTTCAGGAGGGGTACAGAGACAGGTGACTAGTCTCCATAGCAACTGCTAGTTGTGGATTCTTAATGGTAAATATTTTCTTTTCTCCGAGCAGAGAATATCAGACATTTACCTAACATCTGACACTGAAAAAAGCAAAGGACCTCGACTCTGAAATCTCTAATTCCATTCTCTTCGAGCCAACCAGCTACCTTGAGCCTATGGCCAAACAGAATCGTACCACAATGACAGAGTTCATTCTTGTGGGCTTCACAGATCACCCCGAACTGGCAGTTCTGCTCTTCTTCGTGTTTCTGAGTTTCTATCTTGTCACTATTCTGGGGAATGTGGGACTGATTATTCTAATCCAAGTGGATGTCCAGCTCCACACCCCGATGTACTTCTTCCTGAGCCACCTCGCCCTGCTGGATGCCTGCTACGCCTCAGTCATCACCCCTCAGATTCTGGCCACGCTAGCCACAGACACAACGGTCATCTCCTACAGCCGCTGTGCCGCCCAGTTCTTTTTCTTCACACTCTGTGCAGGCACAGAGTGTTACCTGTTGGCAGCAATGGCTTATGACCGCATTGTCGCCATTAGCAGTCCACTACGCTACAACGTGACTGTGACTCCAGGCACCTGCAGGGGCTTGTTGGCTGGAGCCTACATCTGTGGGGTGTCGGGGGCCATCCTATGTACCACATGTACCTTCAGCCTCTCCTTCTGTGATGACAATCAGATCAACTTTTTCTTCTGTGACCTCCCACCCCTGCTGAAGCTTGCCTGCAGCCGCATGATACAAAGTGAGATTGTCATTCTCTTTTTTGCAAAATTCATGTTCCTGGCCTATGTCATGATCATTCTGATCTCCTACATGCTCACCATCAGAGCCATTCTGAGGATGAAGTCTGCTGGGGCGCGAGCCAAGACCTTCTCCACCCACACCTCCCACTTCACCACTGTTGTCCTCTTCTTTGGGACACTTGCCTTCATGTACCAGAGAAGTAACTCACACAAATCCCCTGAGTAGGACAAGATTGTTTCTGTCTTTTACACTATAATCATCTCTGTGCTGAACCCCTTGATCTACAGTCTGAGGAACAAAGATGTAAAAGCTGCATTCAGAAAGGTCATTGGTAAACTCCAGTTCCCAAGGAATGTAGCTTTAGGTGAGGGTCCTTCATCCTGACCTGTCTTCTCCCCAGATCTGCATATTCTGTTGGGCATCAACACCACATGGTGCTTGCCCCTGAGAATGGACAATAGGTAGCTTTCTCCAGCACCTGGAAGTGGGCAGGTGACATTTGTTTGGATGACTTCCACTTCCCTTTTCTTCCCCCTCTCCCTCTTTCATCCTCCCGAACTTGCTGGGTTCCAGGGCTACTCTCTGACATCACAGAGCTGAAAAGTACCACAGTCATAACCAAGTTGATCACCACATCCAACCTCCCACCCCCCAACTCACCACTGGGTTTCCCACCTGCCCCTTATTTATCCTTTTGTCACTGTGCTCATGGACACTGATTTTTACTCTTTGTGGAAAATTATTGCTGTGAATTGTACTAATGGGAGAATAAGGGGTTTTTTTCTTTTATGATATTGGTAACCTGCCAACTCATTATGAGGAAGTTAATGAAAACAACCTGTGAACCCAGTGTAATTTCTAATTTCTACTCTACAGATTAGAGTAGTAGGGGAAAGGTTGCTTTCTTTTGACTACTCTTCCTCTTATATCTTCCTAAGTGGTTTATCTTCAGGACTATACTATCCACTCCTCAACTGAAAATTCTCTGGATTCTGGATCTCTGATTCCTTCATTCTCCTCTAAACACAGTGCCTGACTCATGGCAATTGCTGCTCTCGATAGACCCATTCCCAGCATCTGCAAAGTCAGCAATGATAGACCTGTAGCAAATTGTCGTAATGAGTATTACCTTCTCAGGTAACAATAGCCTCTGTGATTAGGGAAGTAAGTAATTACTGCCCATATCAGATAGTGAACTTCTTGAAGACAGGGTTCTATTGCTTCACTTAATAGTCTCCTCTCTAAATTGCTGCTTCTGGTACACTGAAAGCTACTAGACATTGATAAAAGAAATCAAAGAAGATACAAATAAATGTAAAGACATCCCACATTCCTGGATTGATAGACTTAATATTGTTAAAATGTCTATATTACCTAAAGCAATCTACAGATTGAATACTATTCCCATCAAAATCCCAATGGCATTTCTTATAAAAATAGAAAAAAAAATCTTAAAAGGTGTATGGAACAATAAAAGACCCAGAATTGCAAAAACAATCTTGAGAAAAAAAGAATAAGCTGGAGGCATCACACTTTCTGGTTTCAAAATATGTTACAAAGCTATACTAATTCAAACAGTATGTTACTGACATAAAAACAGACATGTAGATCAACGGAACAGAATAGACAACCCAGAAATAAACTCACGCATATACAGTCAACTGATCTTTGACAAGGCTGCCAAGAATATGCAATGTGGAAAAGATAGTTTCTTCAACAAATGGTATTGGGAAAACTGGACATCCATATGCAAAAGAATGAAATTAGACCCTACCATATGCACATACAAAAATCAACTCAAAATGGATTAAAAATTTAAATGTAAGACCTGAAACTATACAACTCCTAGAAGAAAACATAGGGGGGGAAGTTTCATGACATTAGTCCTCGCAATAATTTCTGAATATGACAACAAAAGCACAGACAAAAAAAAAGCAAAATTGACAAGTGGGACTACATCAAACCAAAAAGCTTCATCACAGCAAAGGAAACAATCATCAGAGTGAAAAGGCAACCCATGGAATGAGAGAAAATATTTGCAAATTATGTATTTGATAAGGAGTTAATTTCTAAAATATATAAGGAAGTCCTACAACTCCATTGTAAAAAAAAAATAATTCAATTTAAAAATGCACAAAGGAACCGAACAGATATTTCTCCAAAGAAGACCTACAAACGGCCAACAGGTATATGAAAAGGTGCTGAACATCGATAATCATATGGGAAATGCAAATCAAAACCACAATGAGATATCACCTCATACTTATTAGGAGGGCTATTACCAATAAATAAACAAATATTGGCAAGAATGTAGAGAAATTGGAACCCTTGTGCACTGTAGGTGGGAATGTAAACTGATACAACCAGTATGGAAAACCCTATGGAGTTTCCTTCAAAAATTAAAAATAGAAATACCATGTGATCATAGCAACTTATTTTGGGTATAATATCCAAAAGAATTGAAATTAGTATCTCAAAGAAATATCTGCACCCCCATGTTCATTTTAGAATTATTCAAAGTAGCCTAGATAAGGAAATAATCCAAATATTCATCAACAGATAAATGGATAAACAAGATGTGGTATATACATACAGTGGAATATTAGTCAGCCTTAAAAAAAGAAGAAAATCTTTCCATTTGCTACAACATGGATAAACATGGAAAACATTATTCTAAGTGAAATAAGTTAGTCAAAGAAGGATAAATGCTATATAATTCCACTTATCTGAGATATCTAAAGTATTGAAACTTACAGAAACAAAATAGAATGGTGGTTGCCAGGGGATGAAGGAAAGGGAAAATGAGGACTTGTTTTTCAGTGGATATGAAGTTACATTTATACAAGATGAATAAGTCCCAGAAATCTACTGTACAACATAGTTCCTATAGTTAACAATATGGTATTTTACACTTAAATGTTTATTAAGAGAGTAGATTCCATGTTAACTCTTCTTACCACACACACAAAAAAGACAAAGGGACACAAAGAAACTTTTGGAGGTGATGAATATGTTTATTACTTTGATTGTGGTGATAGTATCATATGTATGCATACGTCCAAGTTCACCAAATTTTAGATATAAAATATATGTAGTTTTTGGCTTATCTATTATACTTAAATAAAGCTATGAATAAATAAATAAATTGCTGCTTCTGAAAAAACCACTTAGAGCGTTGTTATTTCATTTGCATATCATGGTAACTCTTAAGGGTTGAATAAGAAAGCATTGCTATTTTCCATATTTTACTTCTTCTTCAGAGTTTCTTAAAGATAAAATCTGGTTGACAAGAGGTGTAGCTGCAGAAATGCATAGGATTTAGAATAAAAATAGACTTGTATCCTCTCTGCTGTTTAATAACTGTGTAAATTAGAAAAATATCTTATCCCCTGAGAACATCAGTTTCCTCAAATCAAAAAAAGGATAATATTCCCCCACTTGAAAGAATTATTATAGATTAAAGAATATGATGAAAATCAGTTTGTAGGCTTAGATTAGTCAGAATAGGTTACATTTGCTATGGTAACAATCAATAACAAAATAAAGGTTTTATTTATTGTTCCCAATGTTGACTCATGCAATTTGGCAAGGGGTCCTGCTCCACATAGTCATTCAGGGACCCAGGTTTAAAGAGGCTCCACCATTTTTTAGCTATGCAGTCTGGAACATACAAACTCTTCAGTCACAATAGCAAGGATAAAAGACTACCAAATTGCATGTGGATATTTACTGCTTCCGTGCACTCGGTTAGAACTAGTCATGTGGTCCTGCCTCACTAAAAGAGGGCCATTTAAGGTAAAGAAGTAAATGCAGTATTTGCTAAGCAATACTGACTGTCACAGGGATTATCTGTGATTGTAATGATCAGCATTCCACAAAATCATGAAGAGTCAGATTGCTTTATTATTGTTCATATTATTTCCTACAAATCATTCCTCCCACATTTGAGGAAATTATTATGTTTTGCTTGCACAAAAATTTATTTTGGACAAGCAAAATTTTTATTTATTTTTGGATTCCCCAGATGGTACTGGGAAAGATTTCTAGAGAAGCAGTTTTAGAGGTAGGGAATAAAGGCTTTCATTTGGGGTATATTGTGCTTTAAAAATCTACTAGCCAACTGAGAATTGGTCTCTTTCTCCCTCTCTCAACCTTCTTTCTCTTTATCCATGGGCTTCTTTGTTTTCTCTGTCCTCCACTCCTCCAGTACATGTGGCTGGTGTCATGGCCTTCTACAAACTACGAGCTTCATATATTTTAGTTTTACTCAGTAGACACTATTTCACATTTTTTGGCTTTATTTGGTAGAGTATTTCAGGCTATGTTTTATTTCACTAATAATATTCCCAGAGAATGACTCTGATTAATTGAGTAAAGTTTATTTAAAAAATTAAAATAGAACATTACATACTAAAATTTATGAAATACAAAAAGCCATATTAAAAGGAAAGTTTATAGCAATAAATGCCTATATCAAACATGTATAAAAATTTTAAATAAACAACCTAATAATGTACCCAAAGGAACTAGAAAAGCAAGAATCAACCAAACCCAAAATTAGGACATGGAAAGATATAACATAGATCAGAGCAAGAATAAAAATGTTGAAACAAAAAATATGAAAGGTCAACAAAGTAAAAAGTTGGCTTTTTGAAAAGATAAGCAAAAGTAATTAACCATTAGCTAGACTAAAAAAAAAAGAGAAAGACCCAAGAAAATAAAATCAGAAATGAAAAAGAAGATATTATAACTTATATTACATAAATACAAAGGATTAACAGATTTTTTTAAATTCTATAATTTGTGTGGAACAACAAAAGAACCCAAATAACCAAAACAATCCTGAGCAACAAGAACAAAGCTGAAAGCTTCACATTACCTGACTTCAAAATATACCACAAAGCTATAATAACCAAAACAGCATGGTATTGGCATAAAAACATAGACCAGAATAGAGAACCCAGAAATAAAACCATGTATTTACAGCCAAATGATTTTTTTTCAATAAATTTAGTAAGTACAAGTGGTTTTTTGTTACATGCTGTGTTGTATAGTAGTAAAGTCTGGGTATTTAGTGCACCCATCATTTGAATAGTGTACATAGTACCCAGTAGGTAATTTATCACTCCTCACATCCCTCCCACCCTCCCCACTTCTTAATCAATGTCCTTTATACCATTCTGTATGACCATGCGTAACCATAGCTTAGCTCCCATTTATAAGTGAGAACATGTGGTATTTGATTTTTCATTCCTAAGTTATTTCACTCAGGATAATGATTTCTAGTTCCATCCAAGTTGCTGCAAATGACATTATTTTATTCTTTTTTATGACTGAGTGTTACTCCATAATGTGTGTGTATAT